CAGAAATAGAGAAGTTGCAGAAAAATTTAGCCAAGAATTTAGTCGCTATATTTTTCGACCATCCTGTGTGAAGGCGCGTGTGAACAAGCGTTAACGCGCAATTCTTTCCGAATACGGAAGGAGGAAATTGAAAATATCACGACTGCAATTTACTTCAATGTCTTTCGCAATCTGATGCCGACGTTGCGACGAAAGGAGGACGATGGGAAGACGATGAAATGAATAACGCACAATGTTGAACTTAATTTAGTTACATCGTTTTATCTATTGTTAAATTATACGATCGGCGAGAACGCGCATTAACGTAGAACTAATGAACGTGGGCGATTTTTATTGTCAGCGGCGAGGACCTCGAGCAAATATTGACCCTTCGAAGCGGGATAATTACGAATCCTCCTGATTCACCTTTCCGCCTACATCGCTTCAATTTCCGTTGCCTCACAGTAACGTCGTTAACTAATGCGGAAGCAATTTCCTTTAACGTCGCGCGCTCTTCTGCACTCTAACGATCCTCAGACGAAAGTACCGGCAGAATTTTTCGTCGACTTTCTCAGCCGGGATTGCAACGGAGGATTATGATATGTAATTATTCGGACTGATGCGATAACGTGTGTGTCACGTGATGAACGCGACCGTCCGATCGCGCAAAGAGCGAAATTTAAGTTTCGACAGAGACGTTCTATATACGGTGAACTTTACAGTTTGAACCTCGCTCTTGCTCGTTCTCTCTTGCGCGCACTCTCTCTCTCTCTCTCTTTTTTACTAACGTTATCAAGAAAAGTTATACCGATTTTTAACGAGACTCGTTGATCGCGTCGAGTGTAAAAAAACCGGTTTGCACCGCATGAGTGTTCTTTAACCCGCAATGGTTACGTTCGCGGTAGTAGACCGGTTATATAATATAACATAATTGCTCGCTATCGATTTGCCGCAACGCTGATGTACGATAACGCAAATCACAGTTCGGTCTTTACGGCGCCGTTACGGCGTATTCCGTCGGTTACCTCGCCTTTCAAAAATTACGATCTGTGTATGTGTGACGTTATTTCCAGAACTAATTATATTTAAGTGAACGGTAGCCGGAGATAGAAGGAGAAAGAGAGAGAGAGAAAGAGAGGGGAAAGACGTAAATTATCGACTGGATGAATTCAACGTTCCATATATAATGATATAATGAGACGATTTATTACACGAATAATTAAACGCGTAAACGTTCGAATTACATATCGGGAAACAACGAGATTTTATCGGACCTCCTTTCCTACATTTTCATATTTACTCGGCGGATACTTGACGTTCACGCGATAACGAGCCGACTCGATCTTATCTATCACAACCTCGCGAGATCGACGAGGCGAATAAACGCGTCGACGCACTGTGTGGAAAGCGCGTTGCGCGCCGCGACATTCTCCTTCGTCCCTTACGCGGAGAGCCGCGATTTCACGAGTTTCCGGTTGCGGTAAGCGTGGTTGACATCCCGGGAACCGGGAGTCGTGCAAATTTGAATATCGCCGATCGATCCCACGTTTTTCCTCACCCCATCAGTCCGTTTTCATTCCCGCGAACCGAAACGTATAGATGTGTCGATACGAGAACGACGACGACGACGGGGAGCCCCGCGATCCCCGCGTTTTCTATCACGCGTGATTTGTCGCGAGATAAAAGTCTTTCACGTTCGGCATCGCATTGTTCCTCTCCCGTTGATGTACAGGAAGAACAGGTGATGTACTTCCTAAGGGGTTTCGCGCGAGAAGTCCACACTGAGAAACCCATTTAGTTGAATCAACTAAATTCTTATTTGACTATGGACAAACCAATTTTTTAGTTGTAATAATTTCACTGCCGATTAATGTATTATGAATATTAATTTTATGTAAGTTTCTGACCTAATATTTTTGTTATTTTTCAATATATTTACCTTGTATTAAATAACACAGAAATTGGTGTAAATCGTTTGGCACAAGTGAAATGTGTTTAATTTAACACAAAATTATTTACCGTCAAGATTTGGCGAATGTTTCAACTAAATGTTTGATTAACCAAATAATTTAGTTCCATGTACCGTATTATAATACCATATACTGCATACAGTATATAATATACAAATCCAAAATAATTGTTATCAAATCCTTCTTTCAGCACATAAATACTCGAGTAACGAATCAACAATGGAACGTGCATCGTATGGGCGTGCTAATTAATTCCAAGCTCGGCACTGGTATACTTCAATAATTAATTAATAATGTCAATTACATTGACCTGTTATTATTATTACATCGTATGTTGGCTGCCTCGACTGGTCTCGTCCCTCGACGACGGTGCGATCGACTGAGCGCTTTGCGGAATACACACAGGAAGGTGGTGGTTTCCGCGAGTCGCGGATAAAAATTGCGCTGCTCGTTGTTTTTAGCAACAAGCGATCCACTCAACCATTAATCCGCTTACGTACGCCCACCCTGTCGCATGAGTCAACATAGAAAAAGAAAGAAAGAGAGAGAGAGAGAGAGAGAACACGCGCGTAAAATTAATACCAAGCAGTCACCCCGATGATACGGAAAACGTCATCAGGTAAATCGTTTCCGCATTTGGCCTTTACGTACCTCGGCGCGAGCGTGTAATAAAATTCCAACGGCTGCGCCCTCGTTACAACGCGGTATTATTCTCTCGACCAAAGTTTTTTACGGCGCAACGCTTACGACCCTCGCGACAGTCGCAGCTGTGGGTATTCTGAAAAACAGACGAAAGGGAGAAAACTCGCTGAATCGGCGGTGCGGTCAAGTCCGAAATTGAGGTTTCGCGCCTCGAAAAATCGCGCGATCGAAAAATGCGAATTCCCCCCCCCCCCTCCTCGAATCGAAATTTTGATGCTGACTAATAAAAACCTACTTTAACGATACACTTTTTAACTTCTCTCTTGAATTTTTAATTCAACACTCTGTATATAACGCGGGACACTCTGTATATAATATATTATTATATAATAATATAATATTATATTGAAATGTTTCGACCTATTTTACTATCTTAACTCATACTATGTTATAAAATGAAAGGTTTGAAAAAAGCTAAAATTTTGAGCCCTTCAACCAGCTCGCGAGTGGTCTCGGCGTCAAGCTGTATTTCGTCCGATTTCTATGAGTGCACGCGAGTGACAGACGTTCTAGTTAGTATTAAATGTTTTACCTTGTGGTCTAGCGAAAGACATCGGCCTCATAATGAACGCGAAGAAAGTCGCGAATGTTAATGACGGCCGAGTTAAGAGACAACAAGCCTGTCGCGCGACGGACTTCGGTTACGTACGAATTAATCGAGCGGTCACTCAACCTCTCTCGAGGGAAATCCAATCGGCTCCTCCGATTAAAACCGTATCGAAATATAATCGGACGTTTTTTTTTCACTACGAACGTTATAAGTGCCGTCGAATTGACGGCTTAGCTGAATTTTCTCGCATCTCCGATAGGGATTTTCCCCCTCGCGACCTCGGTTTACACACCTGCCGTGAACAAATTTAATTTAATTTACGACTCGGTTTTTCAGCTGTTGCGGCGCCCGGTGTTGTTCGTAGCGTTTTATAACTTTCAGGCGGCTTCGATCTGCGTGTTTCGTTGTTTACCTCGCGAAATCGCCGAGCCACGAAGGGCCGCGTGAAAACTTGTGCCATTTCCCGTCGTCACGGTCCTCGTGGATTTTCTTGCGCGAAACGAACGGCCGGGCTATTTCCGCGGCGACCGAAGTGTAGATGGAGGCGACTCCTCTCCGGCGACTTCCACGGCGGATAATTCCACCGATAATCGAGCCTCGTCCGCCAATAATGACATTGCTCCGAATATTCTTCCTCCTCGTGCCTTAGCAACGCTGTTCGCTTTACTGCGATTAGATTGCATGCGGTATCGCGATTAATTGGAAGCGACGTGTGCGACATGTTTAGTCAGACGTCTCATTGACCGACCAGCGTCATCGTGATGATTTATAGACGGGTCAATCGCTGAAAGATACCATTTCGTCGAGTGACGAAAGGAGGTCGCGCGGTAAGATTCGCCAGTCAGCGGGAAGAACTATATTTTATCGTATTAATTCAAATGTCCTTTTTGCATCCCGATAATATTTTTAACTTCGAGCAACTTTTAACGCCGGAGAATATCCTGTCATCTCTGCAATGTGTTCAGAATAAAAGTCCTTTTTTTAAATCGTTTCTATTTTAACGTTGTCGTATGTACATTGTGTCGTAAAATTAGACCGACAAACTTCCGGTAGCTAAAAAGGACATCAAAACAAGTAATTTCTGTCAATAAGCCCGTGTCCACAATGAGCCGTTTTGGCCGGTCTAATTTTACGACACAATGTACATACGACAACGTTAAAATAGAAACGATTTAAAAAAAGGACTTTTATTCCGAACACATTGCAGAGATGACAGGATATTCTCCGGCGTTAAAAGTTGCTCGAAGTTAAAAATCCCGAACGAATCTATATAATACGTGCTGAGGAAAAACAATTGCCGATATCTCCGTATTGAAGTAAGTAGCCAACACTTCGGACAGCTGTTATAAATCATTCACTCTACTGCCAAAACAATTCAATTGCGGACACTTATTGACAAACATTACTTGGTTGTCTTTTATAAGTATCCGAAGTTCGTCGGTCTAATTTCGAGACATCTTGTATTCTTTCAACATTGATATGTGTACAGTATATATTCCCTAAAAATCTGCTTTATTTTTACATATCAATTGTCGAAATAAACTCGACTCTAAGGAAATCGCAAGGATTGTTTTTTTTTCAGAAAGACCCGAACTCGTTTTTTCGACTTCGGATTTTTCTCCCGGAGTTTCAATCCTTCTTTTACCTTACTACGAACTTTTACAAGGAAAGTTATAATCGCCGCATCTCTGGCAACGAGAAGAAAAGTGCTTCCAGGCTTGCGAACTTCGGAATTAACGACTGCGCGTCGAAATTGTTTCCATCGATGCGCTGATTGTAATGGCTGACGTTGATTGCAGATTCGATGATGGTCGTGACGGTTATCTCGACCTTGCCGAATTGAAGCGGATGATGGAGGTCTTGGGCGCACCGCAAACACATCTCGGGCTCAAGGCGATGATCCAGGAGGTCGACGAGGATGGAGACGGTCGCATATCTTTCCGTGAGGTTGATATATTTTTACTACCACCGAGAGAGAGAGAGAGAGAGAGAGAGAGAGACCGCCGATACTTTTTCCGGATTAACGGAGTAGAAATAAGCCGTCTGATCATTTCGACTGTTTTGAGAGAGAATCTGACAGCTCACGAGAACTTATCTGCCGTAGAGAGAATCCAGTTTCTGTTCGTCAATAAATTACAATTATTCTCGTCCTCGTAAAAATAAATATCTTTGGTATTATTCAACCAGATGTTCGCTGTATACGGTGAAAATCGCGCGAAATGTCTTATATTTCGAGTTCAATTTCGTGCGGTTGTTAATATAGGTTGTTAAATACGTTTTACCGCGAACTGGCTCGAAAACGTGCCGCGGTCGGTTGACGCACTCGGTCAGGGCACCGGCTCCGAGAGAGAATCGTCGGTGTAAACATATCCGTTGGTCTCTGCGGCCACCCCGACCGGCGGTAGTGCGTCTCACAATTCCGCTCTCGCGGTCGTTAAAAGTATCGAACCGAAATAGATTTCACTGCGTGCGCGGCTCTCGCGCGAAACAGCCCGTTGTGGAACTCGCGCGCATGTGCGCGCAATACGGATGATTCCGGAAAGGAATTCGAATTTCGAGCGAAACTCTCGTTTAAATAGGATTAAAATTAAAATTCGTAGCATTCCCAACAAACTCTGTTTCAAACTTGCATATCACATGCTTAGGACAGTGGATGGGGGGGGAGGGGAAATACTCAAGATTTCTGCACATTTTCGCATAAAGTTCGCGTAAGTTCGCATAACTTTCGTCTCGTGAGCTTATTTGCTCCTCCATAGGATATCGAACGAAAGGATTTCCGTGAATCTCGGAGGTTCATTTGTGGCGAGCGTGCACGTACGATAAGCCATACGTAAAAATAGTAGACCCCATGCAACGTTCAACGTGCTCCTCGCGTGCGCTAGGTATACACGTTCGACGTTCGTGTTTATTCTCCCGCGGCGCACACGAGTGTGTGCGTTAGGGAGGGTGTGCGTTGGAGTGCTTCTATTTCGGTCACTTACTCGATGATGTATTTTAAAAACTATCGAAAAATGGCCCGTGCGAAACTAGGACTCACCGTGGGAAAAAGTCCACCTCGGCCGCGAGAGAATTTCAATTAAAGTCGACGACTCGATTTTCGATGTTAAATAGCTCCGTGGTTGCAAAATGCGTGTCCCGGAAAAGAGCAGCTTGCTATCCATCACGTTGGAATATACATGATGTAAAGAAGAAAAAAATTCTCATGATTTCTACACGGAGGACACCTTGTATCTGGCACGAATAAATTTTTGACTACTTTCCCCTTAGTGCACGCGAGGGAATAGCCGGTGGCGACGAAAACAAGCGCGTTAACGGCGCCAACGCGCGGAATCAATTGTGCCTAACTGATTTTGCAACGCGGCCGCTGAATGCAGAGCACGCGAAACGCCAGCAGAAACTTTCGCCGTTAACGCAATCTCGGCGCAACACGATACCAGCAATGGCCGTAAGCCGAGAAGGAACCTCCCGAAGGAAAATCGCGGCTGGCCGTGGTTCATGCAGAACGCGGACAATCGCACGTGACATTCCGCGCTTCGCAAACAAAGCCGGAGCGCGATTCGCCGGGCGGCGAGCAAGCTCACTCGCTCGCGTCGATCGCCGTGATTCATTGTATGCGATACACCCGAGCAGCAGCATTGCCCGGCTTACTCACCTTCCTCTTACTCATCGTCCGGCCGTTATGAATTACCGTAAAACCGTCGTGACACGTACGTGTCCCTCCTCTCTCGGTCGCGCGAATCGCGGCTTTTCACCGTTTAATGAGAGTGACTCCGTCGTTTCCTCCTGAGCGCGATCGCGCGCATCTTCAATTAAGCGGCGGGGAAAACCTCGCGATAGCAAGGCGCGGAGATAACGAGCGAATCTGGATCTCTCTCCCGGTTACTTCGCGAATGTGTTCAACGCAAAAGATTCGCGCGAAAGATCCCGCGCGACGATTCCGTTTTCGACCGATAGCTGCTCTCTTCGGGAGTCAACTGGTTTCTCTCGAAGTTTGCCGTGTATATACCGTAACTTCGCCGCCAGGGTTGTTCCGTAGATTTGAAGATTATTACCTCCTACATGTGGATATTTTTTTTTTTCGTACACACAATGTGAATTATGCAAAAATAATAAACTGCATAGCGCCAATGCAAGGAAAAAGAAATCAATTATTAGTCGAAATTAGTTTAAGCTTGAAAACATTTGATGACTATTATAATTTATATTGGCGACGCGTAAACGTAGACTGTTATATTTCACGCGTAGACACACTACCCTAGTTGCCGCTCAATACACACCTTGTTACAGTTTCTGCTGATCTATCGCAAGGCGCGCGCCGGTGAGTTAGAACGGGATTCCGGATTGAGCCAGCTGGCTAGACTCACCGAGGTCGACGTCGACGAGGTCGGAGTTACTGGCGCTAAACACTTCTTCGAGGCCAAGGTATGTATTTTCCCACATTCTATCTTTCTCGTTGATAACGTTCTCTCAGCTTTTCTCCGATGCTCGCTTCCTCGTGTAACTGATTTTCCGTTATCCGGGGATCTGACGAGAACTCGGTCGTAGCAACTGAAAGATTCCTGTGGGAGCTTTCTATTCTGTCAATTGTTCTCAGTTATCTCAATCGTGTTTTCAAGCAGTCGAATGTTAACAGAGACGGCGCTTCTCACCCCCTTAGTTTTCGTTTACGTCTTATTCAGTTACACGAACTGAGATTATTTTCCATGCGCAAATTAAATAGGATTTTGTTTAATTGTTCGAGAATTCCGCAGGTTTTTTCTCTTAAAGATTTCTTCTGATTGTTCGTACCTCCTTTCTAAGATGAATTCTATTAAAGGAGAAGGTGATATTGTGGCTTTCTATTTATATTCTGTACAATAACTTTATTGATAATTAATATTTTTCATTGAATACTCAACGATTATATTCATCAAAAAATCTTGTTCAATCGATTCTAGTTTCAAAATTATGAAATACTTAATATTTAAGATGTTATTTATAAAAATGTAATAATACTACGAAATGGGTCGAAAAGAAACAGAGGTGGTAATGTGGTCCTCTATTAAAGTATATATATATATATATATATATATATATATATAT